TGTTAGGATAATTGCTTATAAACTGGTCATATCCCTTCCACTTTGTAGAAAATGAAAAAAATACTAGTCATCTCCACCCACACTAGTCATCTCCACTGTGGTTCATCCTCTGGAGAAGACTCCTTTAATCAGAAAGAGCTGGCGCCCCAAAAGTGGAAGTGCCTTTTGGAAAGTGGAGGGAGCAGGGATGTGCATCCTGAGCACCCAGGCCCCCAGCCTTCTTTCCCATTTGACTCTCACAGCACTGCATAGAAGTTAGAAACCAAGAAGAGCAGTGCCTTCAAATTTGAAGGAAAACAATTTCCAACCTAGAATTCACCACTCAGCCGAACTCTCAAGAGTGTGTGAGTAGAATAAAAATATTTTTCATATGTGAAAGGAATCAAAAATGTACTTGCCATGCAATCTTTCTTACAAAGCTGTTGTAGGATGTACTCTACAAAAACAAGGGAGTAAAGCAAGAAAGAGAGAGCATGCTTACAAGCAGGGAATACACCATTAAAGAACAGGGAAGCTGGGGCCTCCCTGGTGATGTAGGGATTAAAGACACAGCACTATCAAGCTGTCGCCAGCCACTGCAGCAGGACTGCTGGCCAGGGAGCTACCCATATGGTGCAGCAGACCTCTCCTGTCTTGCCCGCTGCTATCCTCAGCAGTGTAGTTCAGTACATCTGCCTGTTCTGCTACCCATTCTGTCTCTCGTGAATCCTCTCACCCCCCCGTACCTCTGGCCTGCACCCCAGTTCTTGTACGCATAATAAATAAATCTTTAAAAAAAACTAAAATTTAAAAAAAAGAAAGAAAGAAAAGGAAAAGAACAGTGAAGCCATCCCCAGGAGCCAGTGGGTCAGGAGATCCCTGCTATGACAATGGTGAAGGAAGAAAAAGCATCAGCTCAGTCATGTCTCTGGTAGAGACATTTCCAGGGAGATGGCAATGTGGCTGTTGCACTTGAACTTTTGAAAGGGAATGTAGATAGTGAGAGTGGAGTTTGAGATTGAATTAGGCAAAAGGATATAGAAAAGTAAGCTTAACCAACATAGTTACTGACTGAAAGGAAAACTAATCACAGTTTACCACATGGTTCAGATGCCTGTACCATTTACATAGTCATAATAATGGAATGCTGTGTATTGATCTTACTGAAATTAGTATATTCAATACAGCTCATTGGAAATATGGGAGCAGGCTGGAGTAAAGCCAGAAGATCAAGAAAGTGAGTTAAATCCTGCCTGCCATCTTGGAAGTGCCACCTACCATCTTGGAAACACAATAATTAGTACCTAAAATTGAAAAAAAAAAACCAGAAAATTGAAAAAAAAAATTATGCTATTTATGAGATGTGGTTAAAAACTGACAAAGCAGAAAGAGGTAGCAGGGCTAGCTTCTTGGCTGGGAGAGACTGAAGAGTAAGACAAATGGATCACTCACAAATATCAGTGTTTTATAGTAAACCTTTCAGTTCAATTGTGTATAATATATACTTAGAATAAAAGAAAAACATTACAGAAAAAAATTAATCAAAGTGTTTAGATGACTTTGTTTTTCTTCTTCCTGCTTTTCTGCACTTTTAACATTGAGAGCATATTAGTCTTATATTAAAAAATAATCTTCGTGGTGAACAAGAACTCAAAGCTCAGAAAGGTCAAGTACACTTGCTGGTTTCATTTATCTTATTCTATCTGACTCAAATCATCATTGTTATCTTTTATCAAAGTACTCAGTGTTCACTGAAAACCAAAAAGCAAAACTGCCATGTCACAATGGTCTCTCTCCCCTCCCCAAAGGTTACAGGACCATGCTACCCCAAATGTTGACATTTTGTCACTTTCATTTATCTACTTATTTACTTATGTATTTATTACAGCCATCTAACTCTAGAAAAATGAAAGACTGGAATCCAAAGACACATACAATGTAACAAAATAAAATAAAAATCAGACAAGGGGTGTTTGGTGTCCAGGTTGTGTGTCTTTAGGAATACGAGTCTCAGTTTCCTGAGGCTTTGTTTTAGTACCAAGTTCCTTTTGCTCATCCATAGTGACTAGCAGAGTCCTGCACACACAGATGCTTAATGAATATTTGTTGGTTTGACTTACTAGCAAAGCCATAGCTTCTTGAGAGGTTAGTTTAGCTTCTCTCCCAACTTGCACTGCTGTCTTAAAAGGAATATAAGTGAACTGTTGACAAAATAACCCACAATTCTGACTTCAAATATCATTTTGTCTCAATTTATGAGACTTGGCTGCCTTTCCAGTCTGTCTTCCTCCTAAGGAGTGATGCCGTTGTTGGACATTTAAGAAATGGATAGAATAAGTGCTTCCCCTTCTTGTCACTTTCAATGTGTCACTGGCTTTCTCCCCAGGTTTTATATTATAGATGAAAGTTGCTTGAGACAGTGTGATATTGGATTGGAGACTGTTCTTCCTTCGATTGAATAGAAATAAAGGCATGAATAAGATTCATTCTCTCTAAAACTTTCGACTTGCAATTTTTCTGAGACCTCACCTGACCTTAATTAAGCCAGTTCTGCTAGTAGAAATTTATCAGCAACCTGGCTGATAATCCTTTATCATTTTTATTAAAACTCAAAAGGCCTTTAAAGAGATTGGGTTCATGAAGTGGATTAATAGCACAATGGAACATCATGCTTTCCAGGTCCTGCTATAGGCTTGGAGATTCAAATGTCATCACAACATCTTAGGTTAGGCTGCTGCTGGAGATATCACAGTGAGTTATTGGATCTACTCAAGATAGATAAAATCTTGGACTTGCAAATAAGTCCTGGTCAGTATATTTGAACACTTTCATGGACATAATGTGTAACTCAGCCTCATGTAATAAGTGTGAGGAATTCATTGACTAGGTTATGTCACATTGAAACTCAAGAGAAAACTCATAGAAGGGTTTTCTTTCCAGTTTTCATCACAACCCACAGTAAATAATATACCAAAAATAACTATATCATGATCTAGTACATATCTATTTATATACATATAAAAAAATTGAAACAAAAGCAGCTTCAGAGGCAATCCTACTCCTAAACTACACTTGAGATGTTTCTGGTATTTTCTAATGTATTCTATCCCATTGAAAATTTAAATGGTTCTTATTACTAAATTTGTAAATGTGTTCCATAGTTCATTAGTGACCTTTGACTCAGTTTGAAAAATACTTTGTTAGATGAGCCCAATGTTCACACTGTTCATATTCATGAGAAGTGTTTATTTGGGGGTTCTTGTGTACCTTTATAGCATTGTGTGATTTCCTAAGGACCAACTTCATATACATCACTGTGCAAGGTTCTGTAGGTGTGCAGAGCTACACCTTCATTCACCTCAAGCAAGGTGCTTTTTGAGCTGCCAGGGAAACCAGGGTAAACACAATACTATATGATCCCTGCCTTCCTAGTGCTTATGATCTAGGGGATGAAAGAAATTCAACTCAAGGAATTGTGGAAGATAAGTCATTCACTTGACTATGTTAAGTAAACTGTTTTGTTAGCATTTTCTGTTAAATGTTTTCTTATCTAGGAGGGTCTGTCCCATTTTTTAAAGATGAGGAAATGGTTCAGAGAGTCTGTCATTTATCACAAGCCACATTGTTATTTTGAGTCTAAATCTAGGGCTGTTTGTAATATACACTGCCTTATATGATCAAGTAGGTTTCATGGCAGAAATGAAGAGATATGGAGGTCACAAAGCAATGAGTAAGTAACATTATAGAAATTTCTGATCCTCAGAAAGCTTAAAAAGACCTTAAGAATTCCCCTTACTCATCTTTTTCCTTCAAAAGAAGCTAATCAAATTATTCAAAAAGATAAAATAGATCTTTAAAGAGTGGTGCCTTCCAGTGTTTCACCCTCTTTCCTAAAGAAAGCTTACAATTCCTCGATTGGGATTTTTCTCATCTAAATCTGTATTTCAAAATCCAGGAAACAAAGTAGAACATCTTCTCAAAACAAGACTCCAAAGGTGGTCCCGTTTGAAATAATCTCTTCCTTGTCCACCCATCACCAGGCATTCCCTGAGCTCTGACCCAAGAGACCACGCCACCTATAGACCACAATCAGCTACTGCTGCTGATGCCCCGGAGCTGCATTGGTTTTTCTTGGAGGGGGGGGGGGTAGGAGGGGTCTAATTTCAAATTTATTTATTTATTTTCTTACAGCATTGTTAATTTTTGTACAGTATTTGATTTCTCCCCTCAGGAGTCCCCTTAGTTTTCCCACCACCACAGCACTCGTGACCCATCACCATGGTACCTTATAGGAGCTTTAAGTTTTAAGTGGCTGATATGAAAGACCATGTCACCTTCAAAGCACCTGTCAGTGACCTTCAACACACATGCTCTTTCTGGCATGTCAGATATCTGTGCCCCAGGGATCTGCTCATACTGTAATCTCACGAGTGTGATCATTTCCTAGTTGGGAAAATTGAAATTGTTTAGATATAAAAGAAAAGGGAAGTGGTAGTGAGAAGTGAGGCAAGGAGAAGCTTATACATGCCAGTCCTCGGGAACGCCATGTATGTGGAGGACCAGGTCTCCCCATCATTGGCTGTGTTCGGAGATACCCCTCCTGACCTGTCACCGAGGGGCCATCCATGCTCTTCCAGCTTCCAACTTCTTTCCTTCATGATATTTAGGCATTTTAATTATTCATGTTGTGATTTTATCCCATGTTTACCGCATGTTTATATGTTTATATGTTGTGTTTATCCCATGAATCCCTCTTCATATGGAGTCCTCCCTAGACTAGGTTACATATCAGTAGAGAATCCATTTCTACTCTGTTATTACTAGGGGCCAACCCTAGGCACTATGATTGATGCATCCATGTTCAAGGACTACTTACAGGTTGAGCAAATGGGCCTGGGACAAAGGGGGCAGGTAGTCTGGAATGTTGTTCTCAACTAGGTCCTTGGGTGTAGCCCAAGTATTACTATTTCTTAGAATAAGGGATAATATCACTTACCATGTTCTTTTTGTTTGCTTTACAGTCAACTTTGACCACTTTGAGATCTTGCGAGCCATTGGGAAAGGCAGTTTTGGAAAGGTGAGAACCAAAATGATTAACAACCAGTAGAATTATAGAGCTCAAAAACATGTTCAGATTGTTTAGTTATTGGGATCACAGAAATGATCATTCAGAGATGTTTCTATAATGGATTTATGTGCTAGGCAACTGCATATAAATATACACTGTTCTCAGAATTATCTCCAAGTCAAATGCATTTACTCACATTGGCGCTTAAGATTTTCTCTCTAAAGGAAAGAGTAAGATTCCAGGATCAACTTCAACCTATACCAGATGTACCTTCAGTAAGAGTTGACATTAGAAGTGAAATCCTTTCACATGGAAAAGAAGCCACCTGATTTCTGTTTATTTCCCAGATGTACCATGTTTTTAATTTTCAGACACCATGAAAAATATACATCGCAAATCTAACTTTTTGGGGAAGAAACTTCTAGATGAACATCCCAATTATTAGTTTCTTGGTGGAGATCTATTTTGAGAATAATATTTCACATTGAAATTTCATTGTAAAATCATCTGATATCTGCTTTATCATATATTACATGAAGCTTTGAAAGAATTTCAAACATATGGACATCGTGTGTAGTGTTTTCCCAAGGCTTACAGTCATTTTTGTTTATATCACCTATAGTTGCAAACAGAAATTGTTTGCACAATATTGTTCAACTTGATCAGTTTAGTCATACCCATTTTAGTCACCAAAGCAGAATAAGGGTGTCATTTGCTGTTGGAAGATTCCTGACAAGGAGACAGCCATTTTCTCCAAAATGCTGTCCAAAAAAAGTGAAAATAGGCAAACTTATTTGAGAAACAGAGATTCAGGAATCGACCTGGTACAGGGGGAAAATGAACTTCCCTCTGAAATAAAAGTGGCCACGATGAACGTTAGAGAATGTGCAAGCCATAGGCATGCAAGTCATTCCAAGAGCAAGTCTCTCGTTGCCCTGATCCATTATTTCCTTAATCATCTTCTCATTCTGGCTTGCACCCCTAGGTCTGCATTGTACAGAAGAACGATACCAAGAAGATGTACGCCATGAAGTATATGAACAAGCAAAAGTGTGTGGAACGCAACGAAGTAAGGAATGTCTTCAAGGAACTCCAGATCATGCAGGGTCTGGAGCATCCTTTCCTGGTTAATTTGTGGTAAGTGGCTCTCCTGGACCTCTAAATGGAGATACCCCCATCTTACCCCAAATACTACTACATAAATGCATATTGGTTTCTAGATGAGTATTTACAAAATACTCGTTAATTTTTTCCTTATGGGCCTTTGTCTTCAAAATGAAAAAAAATTCTGGTTTTCTTGTCACCAATAAATACTGCTTTGTTCATTTGTCACAGTACCCCTTGTCCTTGAGGTCAATTATAAGTAATTAAATAGGATGACAAGAAATGAGTTCAGATGTCATCTCACTCATTAGAGACTTTAACTGTGGAGCGGAGGATTTCGGTGCAAACTATGGCATCACCGGCTTAGATGATATTGACCTTTAGAAATGGTACAAAAACCTTTCTCCTTGAAATGACTGGCAATTAAACTGGTTCTTTGCAGCATGCATCTTAAGCAGCCACATCTATACCTTTGAGTTGGAATAAGATCAGTGCTACCTTTCTCACGAAATAGGTTTTCACAGAGTTAGAGCAGCTAGACATTAAATGACTGTGATTTGCTCTCAAGGCCATTATCATAATCCAAGGCTTAGAAAATGGCAAAGAAGCTGCATTATCTATTCCTCCTGCTTTTTTCTTGTGCGTGGAGGTTTTCTGTGGCTTGCTCATTTTGCTCTACATTTTAATGCATCCATTATATTAAGAGCCAGTTCTTAAAGCTAATTCAGTATGACTGTTATTTAAATATGCATACTAAGCGGTTCTCACTAGAAAAGGCAAAAAAAAAGTCTTTATTCAGAGAATACTAATGGAGAAATAATTGAAATGTCACTGTGTGTTTCAGGGCATTCCTCCAGAGGAATCAGTGCGTAAACTCTGCCTCCCTCCACCTTTAATTAATCCAGCTCACTTAGTATACAATTTGTTCAAAGATTCCAGGCCATGGTTAGAAAGAAGACAGTTCTGTGCAACTTGGAAATAGGTCTATTATCATTTATGTGCTACTCAGACATGGTAGAGTCTAATTTTGGCTCAGAGTCAGTATGTTTAATCAGAATCTTAAAGTGGCTATTCAGAAGTCTGCCACTTAAAGAGTTAAAAGAATGCAGTTCTTTCTTTCCTATCCTTAGCAATCATCAAATTGCCTTTTTTCCGCCTCACTCCACCCTGAGCTGACAGGTGCTCTCCCTTCGTAATCTCCCTTTGTTCAAAGTCACATTTTCCTTCTTCAAAAGTTCAACCAACTAATTTTCTACTTTTAAGATCAGGCACCCTTCCTAAGGACATATTTAACATTTTGCCTTTTCTTGCTTGTCTCTCACCACTCCGTAGGCAAAGCGGAGTCCGTCTTTCTATTCCTGTTTTTTCAATAACATGGATGTTATGAGAAGTTTAGTTGTCCAGAGCTTACAGATTATGCTATTTGCTATTTTGGTGTCATTCTAGATAAAATTCTGTCTTCCAAGCACACTGACCTGGTGTGGCAGAGGAGAGATTCCCCACCCCCCTGGGTTGCTCTCAGGCTGCTTAAGCAAACAAATTAACATCACAAATCAGTAGGAGAAAAGAACAAATTTAGTTACATACATGGAGAATCCACATGGATATAGATTCTAGAGTAAATGGGGCAAAATGACGGTATCCCTTTGTTATCAGGCAGTGTGAGGGGCACCCCAGGACCCCCAAACCTACCTGCTCTATATACATTCTGCAACCCCTGCAGCAAGACAATAAAGACAAGGGAAAGAATATAGTTTCCAAATATCCCCTTCTGGGTAAATGCCCAGCAAAACAGGGTTGTCCTAAAGCAGGACCACTGAGGCCCAAAACTCTGTCACAAGTCTAAGGCACCTCCTGCTGGGGACACATGGGAAAGGGGCAGAAAGGGTCCAGCACTTGTTGGATAGAAGAAGGAAAATCAAAAGCAAATCAAAGCTGCCACTGTTAAGCTCCCACGGGTCTCTCCCCCACATCTGTTTCAACCAGTCCAAGACTGAGAAGCAGATGCAGCTTCTTCACATGTCTCTCTGCTCTGTGTGCCTCCACTGGGTGTCCTTCTGACCTCTATTCTTTCTTCCTTCTCCCAGTCTCCTCTCCAGTGTCTCCTCCTCACTGCTCGGCTGCACCTTTCCTTAGGTGGGGCAGGGAACCTGGAACCTCCCCTTTTCCTGGGGACCACCCTGTTATGCCTTGAGCTAAGGAATGGGATAAGGGGCTGGACTTCAAGGACAGAGAATGGGACCCACATGGCAAGGAAAACGTGACTCGTATGACAAGAGTCATATCCTCTGTCACCACACATTTGCCCCGCCACACAGATTTCTTTGATAGAAAGGTTATTTCCTGCTAAAAATCCTAACACCCCCAATTTTCATTCCCATAGACAGTTAAGGCCGTAGTATAAGATTCCTCTGAGGTGCAGAGCCACGATTGCCCTCAGCTGGAAATAACTGATATGCCAGGGTGACATGTCTTGGAAGGCCAGTCCTGGACATCTGGGGAGGACCATCCTTCAGTGCTGACCTGGTGATAACAGACACATGTCCTAAACCACTTCCTAGGATGACTCCCACTGGGGGACAGTGGGGACCATGAATGCTGACAGATGACAAAGAAGAGACTCCCCCACATTCACGAGTAGAAGCTGGGAGGGTGGCATTCCTAAAATCATACCAGAAAATTCTTGTCTTTCAAACATTGAAACTAATATCTTCAGAAAATATGCTGATTCCTTCAAAAAATCTACTTAATAAGTGTAACATTGGAAATGTAAATACATTATCTTTTGGGACATATCTTTTCTCTTCAACTACTAAGCAGTCCTTTTTGGAGGAAGACTGAGTCATTCATCATTTTTAACACAATGAGTATAAGATAGGGTTCATTGTTTTAGGACCGAATTGAGCATATGCAATGCCCAGTGCCAGCTCACAGTCATTCTTTCCTTCCATGTTCCATTAAGGTGGCACATTCTGGAGGTGCCCCTTCATGCACAGGCCAGGGGCCATCCTGAAGACAAATGTGATTGGGGCTTGGCCCCAAGACCACATGAGAAATTGTGTGGGTGTCATCACATCATTACATCATCACATCCCCAAACTTAAGGAGTGGTGTGATGAGCAAAACAACAAAACATGAACTCCTGCTCCCTTCTCCTCCACTTTCCTGGTAGGCTGTGTAGGCCTCAGTACTGCTTTCAATAATTTTTCAAGGATGCTCAAATGCTCCTAACCTCTGGGAGTGCTAATCTTAAATGTATGTGTGTGTGTGTGTGTGTGTGTGTGGGCATAACTATACACATGTGTAAGAAGTGTGAACACTTTTCTCCTCCTTACATTCAATTTGAAAAACAGAAAATCAGGGCCTCCCTGGTGGTGCAAGGGGTTAAGTCTCAGCACTATGAAGCTATCCGCAGCCACTGCAGCATGAGTTTGATCCCCGGCCAGGGAGCTACCCACATGGCACAGCAGACCTCTCCTGACTTGCTTGCTGCTCCCCACAGCAGTGTATTTCAGTCAATCCATCTGTTCTGCTCCCCACTCCATCTCTGGTGAATCCTCTCCTTCTTCCCACAACTCTGGCCTACACCCTAGTTCTTGTATGCATAAATAAATAAATCTTTTTTAAAAAAAGAAAAATAGAAAATCACATAGAAAAATGAAAATTTGCTTTTGTTTTGGTCATAAATTCACCCACTCATTCATGTGTCTATTTACTAAACATCACTAACAACTTATAATTTGGGTTGTTGGATATAATATAGGCTACGGTTAGATTTGAATTTCAGATAAACCACTAATAGTCTTTAGAGTATGTCCCAAATATTACACAGGATGCCTTTACAGAAAATGACCCATTATCCAAATTTCAAATGGGCAGGGCAACCTGTGTTTGTATTTGCTAAAGCTGGACGCCTGATTGTAGCGGAGACCCCTACCACTGGGATGCAGTAGTGAGCAGTGTGGACAGAACCCATGGCTTGTCCGACATTACTGTGAACAGTGAAAGACTGACAGTAATCCCATAATATAGTATCCTATATATTCTATATAATCAATAGATCATAACCCCATGAATCTATAAACCATGAGACACACATGAAGGGTTCACAGAGAGGGAGGCGAGTGTGTGTTGGAAGGTCTCAGAGAAGGGATTTCACTCTCCTGGGGGCCAGGAGTGTTATGGGTAGAGGAACATTCTGAATTAAAATTCAACCTTCCCAGCCTCCAAGGCATGGCCCCACTCAGGAACACCACTGTCAGATGTAGGCCAGCTTTTCAAGTGAAGGCTGCCAGACAGGGCAGGCTTCCAGAAAAAGCAAATCTAATCTTCCTGCAAGTATCTCCCTGAGGGCCGCTAACAAAGCCCTGGCAACCCAGTGCCTGCAAACAAATAGACCCTGGTCCTGCCTGGAGCAGTGGCTCCCCAGGAGGCCTTCGTTAATTGAGATTAAGCCTGCAGCTGCACAGGCTCCTGGGCCCTGCACCCTCCTCACCGGGAGTCTCTCCTTCCCAGGAACAGAAAAGGTCCGCAAGTGGCTTCGGGGAAATTAAGAGCCAAGATTGTCTGTTTTAAGTGGAAAGGAGCACCTGGACAGGGAGTGTGGGAAGTGGATGCCTCAGATGGCTGAGCACAGCCAAATAAATGGTTCCCAGAAGCCACTGCACCCTCCATCAGTTTTGAGAAAGAGCCATTGTTTCTTTGTGGAATCATAGACTATGAGAGCTCAGGGTAGCAATTCAGAACCACATGAGTGACAGCTTCCCTGGTTGTTACTACTTTGGGTTTCATACATGTTATCTCATTCATTCATCCTATAAACCTAGTTTGATCAGACGTATTATTTCCTTCCATTTTACACCTGAAAAAATGGAGGCTCAGAGAGGTTAAGTCATTTTCCTGTAGTCACACAGCCAGAAACCAGCAGAGCCAGGACTCAAACCCTGGAATCCTGACTTCAAGATCCCTGATCTTCCTGCTCCATGGTCTCATACATTTCATGAGACTCCCTTAAAAAAACAGGGAGTCTATTG